TTTGCAGCCCGTTTTACATGGGCGGGCCGCCCGCGCCCCGCCCTGTTTTTGGCGGGCCAATAGCGGGCCGGGCCAAAACGGGCCGGGCTGGCCCGTTTTGCCATCCCTATATAAAATGATCATAGTAAGACATAATAATGTCATGGAAGACTCGAGTTTGTGATACAATATTATTTTAATTATTAATTATTTTTAGATGTTAAAATTAATCTTTTAAAAATAGATAGAGTGAGAGAGGTGAGTGGTTAAAAAATATTTAAATACATTACTATTAAATAAAAATATTTTGGTTGAAAAATGATGCTAAAAATATGTTTGGTATAGTTAAAATTTATAGTTGAGAGGATTGCACTCCACAATGTTGGAAATTTAACTTTGTGCAGTAACTCTACCTTCAAAGTAATAACATTTTGGTATAGTACTCCTTAAAACTTAGCTAGTGAAAAATGATAAACATAATTTTGTGGAGCCAAGTGAATGTCAGTCCATCTCCCTCTTCTCTCTGTTATATGTAGGGATAAGAATAGGATAAGTTAGGTTAGACTTTAAATATTTAAGTTGGGTCTGTTCTATAAAATTATAATTAAAGCCTAATCTATTATCTATTATGATTTTTTTTATAGGCCTGACCTACCTTTTTTAAAGACCTACCTTTTTTAAAGTTTGGTCTGACCTATTAGTCTATTTAAATTATTAACATTAATTAGGCCAATAAACTTATTAAATTGAATATTTTTGTTGAAGGGACAATTTATACGTAGTCATATATGTTGATATATACTCATGTACAAGTTGTAAGTTTATAAACCTATAATAAAAAAAACAATTGTATAAAAAATACTTTAAATATTGATCATTTATTTTTATTTTATAAATTTATTTATTTATTTATTTTTTTAATAATATAATATTAATTTTTTATTATATTGTATAAATAAATAGGTTGACCTATCAGACTTAAGAGATTTTTATATAAGGCTAAATCTAACCTTTTTATTAAATAGACTAAATCAGTCCACACTTTAAAGAAGTGAGGTCATGTGTCCCTATTTAAGGCCTTTCTATTTCCATCCCTAGTTATATGCTCACATATAAGTTTACTTTATGTGTATATTTATATCACCAGTCAACTCAATAATTTATTATCTAAAAAAATATGAATCAAAATATATTCTTTCTCCGTAAACTATGACACAACTTGAAAATAAGACTCTGAAATTTCTCGGTTAATCTCTATCAATCTACTCTTATATTCTAATCTTGCGTTTCAACATTGTTATTATTTTAATATATACTTTTTTTAAAAAAAATATATACTTGTATATACTATTAACTTGTCTAGCTTAGTCCACTACTCCATTAGACCAAATGATGGATCTAGACAAATTGACTTTTTTTGTTTATTTATTATTTTTAATATAAATTTAATTAAATTATTTCATATTTATTTTGTGTATAATATGGTTTATTATATAACAAATCTATTGTATAATTGATTTATTTTATTATATAATTTATAATTTTATTATTATTTAGGTACATTGATTTATACAAATCTTTTAAATATTAAAAAATATATGTTAAAAAAGTAATTTAAAATAAATATATAAATCCATCCCTAAACGAAATAGATCAAAGTTTATGACCTATTTTTTTCTAGGGAGCAGCCCGATCCAGCCTTGTTTTTGGCAGGGCAATGGTGGGCTGGGCTGCCCGTTTTGCCAAACTAGCCATAAAAGGAGCACAAGCGTATTGTTGTGTGTGAAAACAAGGCACAGACTGTACAAAAATACAACGTTAGATCTCTGACACGTCACACACGATGAGCCATGGATGCAGCGGTGGGCGTGGAAGCGTTCACATGTTATTATTTGTATAACTGTGTTTGTGTGACTCAGTCACACGTGTCATTCATGTGCCCTTCTTAGCTTTTTTGTGCAGTTGTGTAGTGTAGGAAGCAACTTCTCCCTCTCTCTCTCTCTCTCTGCAAAAACTTCTTCTTTAGCCAATTGCTTTCGCAAAATGTCGGGGAAGAGAAGGAGGAAGTTGAAATTGTATGTTATCTTCATCCAAATTGAACTTTGCATCTCTATATTTTTATTTTTCTTATTATTATTTTAATAATTTGCATAGTTATAGGAACATGAAGCACTCCCTTAGGGTTTCAATGCTGGATCAGTATGGATTTATAGGACTCGTCGGGTTTTATTAGTTCCTTATTTGCTATTGAGCTTGAAATTTTCAAAAAAGAAAGAAACTTGTGTTGCCCTAATAGACTTGGCTTTTAATTGTGAATGTCTGTTAGGGTTTGTAGATCTTGTAATTTGACAATTGAGTTGAAGAATGGGTTGACTTAATTTGAATTGCTGAGAATTGAAATTTTTAAGTTGTAAATACGCTGTATTTGATTTCAATTATCTAGAATACTGCTATGCTTACATTCAAGCTACTGCATGAATGTCTTCTTATTCCAATTCTATGAAATTTTCATGTTTCATCCACATTTATTCCTGTATCTGAAGTTTACTATTGATATGTGGTCCTTTCTCGTGGAGCTGTAATTGGTGCATCATGACCGGCTCTATGAATAACCAATTCTAGGTTTGAGGGTTGTGGAATGCGCCTGTAGATCCATACCATCTTAACGGTGGCAGAATGATATTGTATCTTGTTGTGTCATAATTTCATTTGTTGAATTTGTTTCACTTTTATCTTGCATTCATATCTTTAATACTTATTATTCAGGTTAAGCGACACAATCACAAATAATGGAAGAGCAGTTGTTGAGGTAAAAAGTGAAAATTTGGAATTGCAATCCTGGGCTGATCTCCCTGCTGAACTCCTAG